ACCCAATTTCACGAGGATACAACTGCTCGCTGATTTTACCCCGTATCCCAAACACACCAAGACTTCCACCGCTCGGGAGTCGAATAATTTGTGCCGAACGTGTTTGGGAGGATAGTAGCACCCACTTGGCGCATCGGCAGACCACCACCAGTCACTGTCTAGGCCAAAAATGCATTCGATGGTCAAACGATGTTCAACAAAATTGAATGCATGGCGCATCCCTCAGGGACCCATCAACGCTGATAACTTTATCCCTCATCTTCCATAAATTGTCAAACAGATAAACTTTATGTCAACCAGAAAAAGGGAACTTCATTTTTATTGAATAAGTAAATCCGCAAAGATCTGTAGATGTTAATGGATTTATTTCAACTGACAAAGTTCACAAGGAGCCTAGATGTACTTAAAAATAGGGATCCAACCATATTCCACTACGTCCGAGTTAAAATCAATTCATATCATCTGTTCAGCAAACACGAGGTGCTATTCCACTTCCTCACTCACGTAAAAGCTGACGTTTCGGCGAATTTCGCCTTCCTCAGAGTCTGGAAAGGTCAAGTTGACAGCAACCTATTCGGCCAAACACCTTCATAACCAAACAGAGAAAACCCTAAACCAACATTTCAATCACATTGAACACAGCTCTGCACACTCACCACTTTCTATGAGTCTTCCACTGAGTACGTCGTGTGAAGACCAACGGCACAGAATTCACATGGAAGCGCAATGTGCTCCTTCTATCAGAATAACAGGTTTATATACTGCCCTATATCACGCGTGATAATAAGGCATTCTTTCCTGCGGTTCATTTTCGGATTTCTGGAATTGATCCAGAACGCCTCGAGAGTTTTGAGCGCTTGTGTTCTTGATTCCTGCGCGAGGATCGTGACACGCACTTCAGAGTCAGTTCATATCGTTCATTTTGCACCGTTCGTTATGTGTTAAATTGGTTGTGTGGCAAGGTTGACAACCACAAAAACGATCTGATGATCTGGACACAAATAACACATTCCAGACACAAGGTAGAAACGTTTTTTTCTTTCCACTTTGTGGGAGAAAAAGCGTCGCATATGAAGGTCCTGAACTGCTTTCGTAGCCAGCACAAACGACATAGAAAGGGAATTCTAGTTAGGTCAAATCTTCTTCTCCAATGATCTTTAGTTCCACGCTGAAAGCTCTCTCCTCTTGTATAGGTTGCTCGTTCGTATCATAAACTCCATCAAAGGATTATTGCGCAAGGGTAGAAGATTAAGAATGGTTCAGGAGCAAAAAGTAGAAAAGTAGAGATGTAACAGGCAGCATTAAAATAGCGGATACAAAAATACTAGTGTTCCCTAGATAAATACTGTGTTCCACACTCATTGTAAAATAGAAGTAAAACAGGTCACCTTTTCCCGCTTGGAAATGGAGTTATTCACGCAAAACTTACTCAAAGGCGATTGCATATCCTCAATATCCTCAATATCCTAGACTACGACACTGGCCAACAAGCCGCTTTCGGCACTGCTAGAATTGTGCGAATCGAGATCAACCAGAGTGAAGACTGGTGGAACCACATCCGAATATAATCACAGGAAATTTCTCTCGATCGAGTGATTGCAATTGCCACCATCTCTCGTAACGAACATGACATCAACAGTGGTCGAAAAGTTCAGCGACATTTCCAAGACTGACTGGATTTTATTTAGCCAATATATCAGGCAATGATGTCATGAAAGTTGGACGCGCTCTCTGAATTTGGTCACTTGAAACGAGCCGACCGCTTCACAAGTTCGAAAAAAATTTGTTTGATGTGTACGGCACGTTGAAGTCATAGCCCATGCCACTCTACCTAGACCTCTTCACTTGCTTTTCCTTAGAAAATTGTTTCTTTTTTTTTAATCAAAATTAAAGGTAGGGACGAAAGCAGTGCAATGGATGTGGGCCGAAAATGCAAATGTTGTCGCCTTTTTAAAGGATAACTGTAAAAATTTCCTCCGTCGAAACTTGACGAACACGGGTAAAGTATTGTTGTTCCCAAACGGTCACTTCACTATCTACTACTTCTACCGAAAACTGATAGCCGCAGTAATCTACTCTCGCAGGAGCTGCCTAATTCCGTACACCCTATCCGTCCCAAACGTGAGCAATTTTGCGTCTTACATAATAACCGTACATTCGAAAGTGGTAATAGAAGTGTCAACGTGCTTGCTGCTGCTTTAAGCTCACTAGTAAATCTACGTATTTTTATGACATTTTCTGTGACGTTAACTCAAATTTGTCCATACATTAGAGGGAACCGTTCTTGAAGATTCGATGTTTTCTTCAATAAGTAGACACGAGGTTGTTATTATAGAATTTATTAGGATAAAATAGCTGACGTTTCGGCGGTTTCGCCTTCTTCAGAGCCTGGAAAGGCCCAATTGAGATGCGATCTACTCAGCCAAACACTTTCATTACCCCAACAAATAAAACTTAACAAATAAATTTGTATTCGCATAAGAAACGGCTTCGTTTAAACACCTACCGTTTATTTGTTGTAAGTATTTAAGTTAGTTGATGGATAGCAGCCGCACAGAGTATATACATGGGCGATAACTGTGTCTGTGTCGGTCATTGGATTAGGCTGAGCTATGGCGCCAGGTCACATGTGATGACAGGATACTCCTCCTTGCGGTTCATTTTTGAATTTTTGGAATTGATCCAAAACGCTTCAAGAGTTTTACGCGCTGGTGTTTTCGATTCCTGAGTGAGGATAGTGACTCCTGCTTCAAAATCTTCTCCGTTGTGTTCGTGCATCCTATGCGCGCGTAGTGGAGTGTTTAGTTATTTTTAGGTTTACCGACTAGGTGTTCTTTTATGTGGACGCAGAGCGGTCTACCCGTTTCACCAACGTATTCGTCCCCGCACGCTTTACAAGAGATCAGATAGACTGTACCCGAACTCATGCAATCACCGTCCCTACCACTGGGGCAAATTATGCAGTTTTTCGTTATAAATAGACGGCCATATGGGCGGGTGCGAACTAGCAGGCGTGTTAGAGTGTCCCGATAGTATTTCTATCACTCTTGCGGAATCTTCTAGACCGGCCCTTAATAAGCAACGTTTTATAGCTGCACTTATTTCTTTTGATATAAAGGGCAAGAGGAGCGAAGCCTTATTTTCGCTAGAATTATCGCTCTGAGGCGTGGGTTCTCCTCTATGCCTATGCCAAGAAGCTACAGTTTCGTAACCATTTGAAATGGGTATTTGGCGCCCCAGTGTCGAGGATTCCTCCCTCTGCTCTCTATCTGTACACACGCTGGTGGCGGTTTGAAACATATTTCTCATAAGCGCACTTTTAGCGTGTGAGGGATGAGAGGAGAAGCAATGAACCACTATGTTATTACTGCTTGGCTTTCGATACCATTTTATGTTGTAGCCGTTCTCGAGCAGCACGAATAGAAAACATCAGCGCGTAAAACTCTTGAAGCGTTTTGGATCAACTCCAAAAATTCAAAAATGAACCGCAAGGAGGAGTATCCTGTCATCACATGTGACCTGGCGCCATAGCTCAGCCTAATCCAATGACCGACACAGACACAGTCCTCGCCCACGTATATACTCTGTGCGGCTGCTATCCATCAACTAACTTAAATACTTACAACAAATAAACGGTAGGTGTTTAAACGAACCCGTTTCTTATGCGAATACAAATTTAATTGTTAAGTTTTATTTGTTGGGGTAATGAAAGTGTTTGGCTGAGTAGATCGCATATCAATTTGACCTTTCCGGGCTCTGAAGAAGGCGAAACCGCCGAAACGTCAGCTATTTTATCCTAATAAATTCTATAATAACAATCTCGTGTCTACTTATTGAAGAAAACATCGAATTATCAATCAATGCCGAGGCTAACAGAAAGTGGGTCTTGGAAATCGTTTTTGAAGAGCTCTTCTTTGCAAACTTCTATTAGTAGGTTACTAAAAATATTTTCTATGTTTCATGTACAATGAAGGCATATTCTCCATACACTTTGGAGATCTCACGGGATGACGACCTCTGGCCGCTAACACCTTGCACAGCTTCTCTAAAGTTTGCTTGCGGTTTAGTCTCCCAAAAAGATGATTGCTGTACACATCTCATATATCTGTTTCCTTATTAATAATATAAACATCTTAGTCGGATCTAAACTAATTTGAACAGAATGCAAATAAAAATTCTCTAAAAAGTGACTATCAGGACTGCAGCATCCAAGGTCCAGCACACTCACAGATTTTTGATGACGCTTAAACCGAATTCTTGAGTTTGAACCTCACCTCCCCTTTTAGCGACTAAATTCAACATCCAAACTAGTCGGAACAACTCAAGTACCAAACTAAAAAGCTACGAAGTACGACAAACACAGCAACAGTTTTATGAAAGGTGGTAAAACACAGTACTATGTGATCACAAAAAAAGACCTTACAACTAATATTTACGTTAGAAGTTCGAAGAAAAAAACAATCAGATTACAAAAGAAGCTAAACTACACATGTAGTAAAAATTGAATTTCTCCGATTGAGGAAAAAACAACACCACAGTGTTCTAGTTGCCTCATATTCAAAATATGAAACGTGCTAAAACACTGAGCTTATACTCCACTTGCATAGTTCAAATAATATAAGAATCGTCAATACTTAATTTTAAAAAAATTACAACGAATACCATGTATTTAGAATATAAGTAGAAATTTTCGAATAAAACAAGATATTTGAACTGCGTGCGAGACAAAGAATTCAATGAAAAAAATTCCTGGCGAAAGTTAAGAATAGACCTATAAGCGGATACGTGAATGACGGACGATGAAGAGTAGCACAGTAGCAGCAGTGGTAAATGAGTAGAACAATAAGGACGTGGAACACTCGACCGTGATACAGCAGTTGATTTCTTAAAGAGTTCATGTGTTTACTAAGCGTATGTAACTGTAATGTAAAAAGAAGCAAAGAGATAAGGGCAAGAATTGTCACGTCTACCTTTATCCCAGATTTATAGGAGTGACCTAGTCATGCCTTGAAAATTTTGAGAACATCGACGATCGAAGCACGACAAAGCGGACAAAGCCCAGATGAACGATAAGTTTGCATCGCACAATCGTAGCACATACACGAATGACCACATTTATACAGCGCACTATTAACTTTAGCCCACATACATACCTAAAATGCATGATTATAGATCTTCTCTTAAACCATTATATTAACTAACACATTCAAAACGACGTTGAATTTTTTACGTGGTTACAATCGCTTTTTTTTCGCACTATTCAAAGAAAATGCCGTCAGGCCTCCGATAACTGGAAATTTCTCGATAACTGAAACATAGTTGAGGAGTTATAGAAGAAACGTTGCTTTATCGCTTTAGTGGTGTATACGCTATAACTTACTAGAGCTATTTAAAATAATTGCCTTCCTGGACAATGACTTCCAAATAATGAGAAATTTTATAAAACAACAACTAGGCTTAAACACAACTTTATTCACCAAAATAGAAGCCACTAGAATCTATGGATTTTTTGCCAACAAAGTACACTTCTGTTTAATCCAGTACAACCGGGTTTTTGAAGTTTTCAAAATCACCAATTCTCCGTATGTAGAGACAGCCGTTATGAAGTATGCTCCGGTTTTCCTTTACGCAATTAGAAAGATTCCTAAATCGCATCATGATGTCTGTTGAAAAGTGGATCTTATATGATTATCGAGATCGTTCGGCGCACTAACTGGGACATACACGAAGTTCCTAAGTCTTTTCTGAAACCATTTTTGCACCGGAACTACAACTTTTACAAACGCGGCGAAACCACCAAAGCAAACGACTAGTGTAAGGAAGTCTACAAACCGTTCCAGCTGTTCTTCTACGGAATTATACGGTCAACTGTATCCACGAATCTCTTGGAGCCGACATCAGAGCTCCTGTCCTTCATTTACTGACAAGTGTTCCCATTATGGAAGGAAATCTGCTGCGCAACCAAGTCCAGTCACATATCGCACAATAAATTCTGCAGATTCGCTAACTGACCAGCACTTTCTTAACTACATGAAAAAAATTCTTTGACGGAAAATCCGCTATAAAAACACTTCGAAGGAACTTTGGAAAAAATCAGAATTCTGCTCTAACGGAGTACGGAATTAGGTTATCTCTTGTTGGTAAAAACGTGCAAATCCCAATGGTTTTTATTTTGATTAATAACCAAGTTTTCTGCGTCAGGTTATAACGAGTTAAAATTCACGACACAAAGCCATAAATACTCTCACACCAAACCACCACTATATGTTACCACGACCCACGATCCAATCAAATCGTTGAGAGGCTGTTGTCAGTGGGTCACCGTCGCATAACATTGAAGTTGGAGACAAAGTAGCTTTTAATTACCGCTCTAAAGTTGACGCTATATGCCTAACATGATGGATGATAATGGTTTCTCGTTAACGTCTTAGAACTTCTCGGTAACTAGGAGATTTAGAGAGCTGAGAACATAATGAACCAGAACTGTTTGTGGTTCGAGTACACAAGCGGCCAATGGTTTTTTCCGACCCCTGGAGAAATAAATTGTAAAAACAGATGATTTTAAGCAAAACGTTTAAAACAGGAGTTGATATCTTATGCACCGATAGCTTCTGAAGACGAACTGTGTGACAAAACACTGGTGAACGCTTATGTGGAAAACCCACATATCCATATCCATATATATATATATATATATATATATATATACATATATATATATATAATGTCTCGAAGATTCGTCATCCTATTGTTATGTGAATAGGCGTTCCAAAATATAAAACATTGGTGTTTCAGTACAGATGGGACGTCTTTGCGCTCTCCAAAACAGGCGAAAGCCTCTTACCGTGGTGAAAAATCTAGCACGATAAAACCTTTTACCTCATATAAAATGTGTACGATATGTTATCTAGTGAATAGGAAAGGTGCGGCAAAATATATAAGTGGAAACGAAACGTTAATGCGTCCTGTCGCAAATGTGTTAAACAAGAAAGTCCTATGTTCACCGTGCACTCATCGACCTCGTTGCCTTGTGAATGTTCACCATTCTCGCCTGCCTCAAGTCCCACAGACGATAGGACACTTCGAGCACGATCTGTTGAAGAACCGTTCAGGCTTTGTAAATTTGGCAATGAAGATCGAGATGAAGAAGGTAAGTCTTGTGCGGAACCCGATCCTCTTCCAAGCAACGCGTTCTAGAGACAAAAAGTAAAAAAAACTCAGGCACTTGAACCTCAGAATCAGTATAACTTTTTACTACCACTAATTAAATTGCTCAATCAGAAAAAAGTAATACATATAAAAAACACATTGGAAAAGTTACAATGAAGTTAGAAGAAACACACCAAGGGATTGCCTGTGCTATACATCGACGATGAATTTGTTGTAGTCCTCAAAGCAGAAACAGGAGAGGATGTAGAAACACGTGTAGGTGGTCCAAGCAGAGGAGTCTGAGGATCAAATGAAAACACCTTTATAAGAACACGCCTAAAAGAAAATAATCACAAGTCGCGTAGAGAAACAAACCACCCTAGGAGCAACTGGAGGAGGACGAGGAAGAGCTGGCAGATCAGCAAAGATATGATCAAGAGTGTATCGCAGAATCCTTTCTGAAGCTCTCTCTGGTGAAGGAGCCGGACGATGTGCAACAGTCACTTAAATGTGGAAAAATTATGATGGCAACTGAATGGTAATACAAACGATTCCTTCGAAACTGAAAACCGGAACTGTTTTAGAAACGAGAGCTCTAATGATCACAAATGGCATGTGTAACCAAGGGGAATGGATTAAAAGGTTAGCATAAGAACTCTTTTAAACTGCGTAAAACTTTTGCAGTCTTTACTAGTCCAAATACAATGCCTGAAATAGACTTTAATAATGCGTTACACTCAATCAAATCAAATCGAGAGTAATTATTGTGGTAAACAAAATTGATCACCCAGTCATAAAATGAAGGAAAACTAAAATGGATAAACATAAAATGTTTCCATTACCGTCAGCGTTGTCATCACTAAGAATATTTGTGCTAGAACTTGTCCCTATATGATCATCACGTACTGAAAAGAAGATTCTATCAAACAGTTGTTATGCGCAATTAAGAAACACTAACATTGCACACGTAAGGCATTCGATGATACCTCGTACGGCTGAGATAAACGAGAAGGCAGTGCAGAAGATTCCCTAGAAAGTGGATTTCGTCAAACACTGGAACACACATTATTTCGCGAGCATATGAGAAACATCATTGTAAATCAGTCTTCGTTTTTTCTTTTGAACTAACACTGGAAGAAACGGTGTCAGTGATTTAATTCTTATGTAATGTTGTTAATGATGATATAATCGTGAAGGAAACAAAAGAAATAAATAGAAAATCCAAAATTCCCATAAGAATCCAAAGAATTTATGTCTCATAGATTTATTTTTGGTTCGAAGCAGATGAGACCATGTTACACACAAATGCTCTCACTTTATGTCCACCGGTGATCAAGTTGGTTGCTTTTCAAGTACTATATGCCGTTACCTATTGTGACTAAAATTATGCTTAAAACTTTTTCCTTTTTTCAGTCTACGAAAATAATAGTAGACCGAAAACTGATGGCTGACATTTAAGCGGAAATGAAATGCTATAAATCATGACTACATGACATCCTCTCTCCCGAAAACATAAAGTCAGTCATCATAGCCAACTCCTAATGGAAGTTACACTTTAGAAAGTGCTTGGTTTCAGTCCTTACTGAACAGAACGTCACTGATTGGCATTTCACAATGCGTTAATGAACTAAGTCTATTTGTTCTGCGTAGAAGAAGTGCGCGACAAGTATGTGAAGAAGATCAAGCCGCCATCCGTTTAATTCATTTTGCACACACTACGTTTTACACTTTTCTAATGCTTCCTAAAAGAAAAAGGATTGGAATTTTGAATTCTTATACTACCCGTTAGGTAATTTTTATGATTGCCCTTGGTTATAAGTTTTGGTGGTTTTCTTCAACTGCTGGTATACATCGGCGACTCTCCATCATGAAAACTCCCTTTTTCGGGAGCCCTTCTTTGGTCTATGTTACGATGATATTTCGAGTTTCAACTGTTACTTATTTGCAACAATGAACAACGTAAAGCAAAACGATGCAATTTTCATGATGTGAGCATATCATTAAACAAGCCTTAGATCGACAGCTGACGCTTTGGCGATTTCACCTTCTTCAGGGCCGTGCTGGCACGCGGCCTGCTTTAACCTTAGATACTTGTCATCAAATGTTAAGAAAATGTACTATAGGGGAATAAATGAACTTTAAGTCGGCGTACTACGACAATGTAGGTGACAAATATATCACATAAAATTCCGTGCACACTTCACAACGATAAGAACGATCATCGATTTCCAACGAGCAATATTAGATTGAACAGGTTTGATTTAAATATGACCCATATAATATATAATGCAAGGTCCCCACTCAATAGACGATCAGAAAAACCGTGCTATTGTTCAATAGGGGTGACCTCCACGATATCGGCATATTTCGCTTAGTACCCTGCCGCGAAATTATAGTAGGCAGAAAATAAAAAGGTATAACATTGTGATTTCAACTACAGCCGAAGCTTAACTGGGTTCTATGCCGATTTGGGCGCCCCAGATCAATCCCGCTGACGGGTGATTGCTGTGGCAAAGATCGGTAGAAATAGCTGAGAGACAGGCGAAACAAAGGACCTGCATGGTGTGGTGGTGAACGCGTTACCCTCCGGAAAGGACAATAGCGCGTTCGTTCCCCACCATAAACACCTGCGGTCCAGAGTTTTGCAAATATCTCAGCAATGTTGTGGTTGTATATCGCCCTATCTGCTTGCTGCCTGCCATCTACAAACGTTTTACTAAAGTCATTTTCACATTTTAAACAAGATTGATAGAGCACTGAACCAAGGGCAGCCATGTCAGCAAGCAGGATTTCAAAAATGATTTAGTACGATTGACCACATCCATACGGTAACAAGGCTCATTGAAGTATCGCAAGAGTACAAAAGACCGCTCTGTCTCACTTCCATCCATTTAAAGAAGGCCTTTGACTCAAATGAGATAGAAGCAGTCATGGAAGCTCTTGATAGTCACGGAGTCCCTACTCAGTACATAAAGATTCTTTGTGAGCTGCACAAAAATTCCACAACCAGGATATCACTATTCTACAACGATATGAACATCAACGTCAGGAGGGGTGTTAGGCAAAGCGATACCATCCCGCCAAAATTATTCAATGCGAACCTTGAGAACGTCATCCGAACTTTGGAATGGGATAATATGGGAGTGGAAATCGATGGCCAGCAGTTACACCATCTTCGCTTTGCTGATGACATCGTCCTTATAACATCAAACATTAGCCAAGCGGAACGAATGCTTACCAACTTTGACTAAGCCCGTGGAAAGATTGATCTGCGACTAAATCTCACAAAAGCAATGTGCATGAGAAACGGATTGGTTACGTATGCCCCATTAGCGCTCAACGGAACCAACATCTCCCACGAATGCTCCAAGCTATGTCTATGAAGGTCGGGAAATTAACATTATGAACGACTTAGCTCCAGAGTTGAGCAAAAGGAAACGAACGGCTTAGGGAGGTTTCAAGAGCATCGAGGATGCAGTGAGGAGAACAAAGAACACCCGAGTCCGTGCCCACCTTTTCGACTCAACGGTACTTTCTGCCCTAACTTATGCGTCAGAAACCTGTTGCTTCCTAAACAGAATGAAAAATCACTCAGCGTTATTGAAAGCGCAGTCGAAAGGACGATGCTAGGAGTATCCCGTGTCACGCAAGCAAGGGAAGGGATCCGCATCAACGATTGAAAATCAAAGATGCCGTTCTGTACGCCAAACAGCCGACGATAAGGAGAGCCAGACACGTAATGCGTATGAACGACAACCGATGGACAAAAGCCGTTAGTGACTGGATTCCTCAGGATTTAAACGCACCGCAGGAAGACTACCGACCCTATGGTCAGTGCTCCTCGCGAAAAGCCTAGAAAAGATATGATGCTCAACGAGTCCCTAGAACGAACAGAACCAACTGAGCTACTCTTATACACGACAGGGAAAATAAAAGATTTACTAGCGCCCGCTGGAGTCACTCGACGATCAACGGGACTACAGGTGATACAGGTGATTACTCATAAAGACTCCTGAGAATACCAAATCTGACGAGAAATCTATCATTCAGAAGCACTGGATTAACTACCTCATAACGGCCCAGAAAAAAACTTTATGAGAAAAACAATTTTAATATGGAAAAAAGTTCTAAAGATCTACTGAAACTAGGGCTGCAGTAGGAAGACAAATCCTGGTTAGAAAGCCATCCATAATAAGCTTCTTGTAGTTTCACTTCGTTACAGATCTGAAAACATTTGAACAATACTTTTTTCACATTTCTAACTCAAAGCCTTCGGTCAATCAGGAAACCCATCTAAGAGTAAACCAATACCAGGACCTACCACCGTCCTGTCATCAAACTAGTCGCATGGTGGCAAATAACCCTCTGATCCACATAGGCAGTGACTGCCTGTTGTGGTGACGGCCTGGGGCAGACTTTGGCCAGATTAACCTCGGAACTCCAGGAAAACAGAATGACTAAGCCAGCAAAACTCCGAAAAACAGGGAATATGCTGGGACCAGCACAACCAAAGAAGAAAGGCTGTCCAAGCATCCAAGTAAAGAACCTCCGGCCCATACTAACATCGTCCACTGAATCCAGCAAGTTCCAATACAGCTGTCCCAACAGAATTCTTCGTCATTACCTACAAACCAAACCATTAATGTTAACACTACCTTGGGATCATGTTTGGCAGTGGCGGAAGAGCAACCCGTGTAGGCGCGGAGGTCGATGATCTAGCTCTAGGCAGTGGTGAATGAGATCGTGAAACCGACTTACATCCTAAAAAGTACCAAAAGTTGTTATGTTCCTCAGAAAATTACATTGAAAATGGACACTGAAAACATCTTACCACGCAATTTGATTGCTTGGGTAGAACCGTAAACGTCGAAAAACATGTATAGAGGAAGAGAATTATCAACGTGAAGGACAGTACGAGCAACATTTTGGTCCTTTTCAAATTTCACCTCACCTAAAACAATGGCAAATAAGTAAACACTTTGAAAATATTTACATAACAAACACTAAGAATTATATACATTTATATGTACATATATATATATAAATATATATATATATATATCGACTTAAGCAGTGTAGTAGCAAATCGAGCCGCAATTCGACCCCTCGCCGGTCCTTGGTATCATACAGCCCCGGGAAGCCCCCAATGATCCAGAAGGCCAGTGTATGTGGTGTATTAAAAAAACCTAGGTACACCTTGGCCACGTTATCACACGATTTCAGAGAGAATCTGCTCGTTCGGAGGACAAATGATAGGTGATAAGTAAATCCCTAAATTCCGAAACCTGAGGACTGGTCATTCTCACGAAAATTGACCTCTGTAACATACTGCTACTTGTATGAGATCACTCTTCCTCTTTGCAAAACCATGCTGAAGCATCTAAAAATTAAGGCTTTCTCCCAGGCCACCTGGGTGCCCTACTGCTATAACAACTGGTAAAAACTGCCCTACTCTGCTTGCACAATGGCTCCTAACACGACGAAAGCGCTGAATAAACATAACAAACACCATCGGGCCCATATATTTTAATTACAACTCCAAAAAAAGAACGGATCATCCTCTGATTTCACTATGCTCATAATCTACGAAAGCCCCAGTTGCAATGAAGATGAAACCAGTGCTCCAACATAAGACATATTTTGAAAAGTTCTACAAAAAACCCTACTTAATACAAAGATCCCACTAGAAACCTAGATGTCGGATAGAAGAGCTATAAATCTTGAAAAAATTTCAGAACTAGACAGGAATGAGCAAAGAGAATAAAGTGCGTAAATCTACGTCACCATGCGTAAAATACCAGATTCATTGTGAGAACCATAGTTAAATGCTCATGCACTTCCTTTCTCCTTAAGCTCTGCGCGACAACCGGTCGTCGAGTTAATTATGTTTATATTTCAAAAAAAAAAAGAGAATAAAAGCAACAACAAATATAAAGAGGACTTCGGAGGCATTCCTATACAAAAGATCAGCTCGTCTATGGATATGTCTCGTTCAAACACCAACAAGGAACATGATATGGTCTACTTTATATTTCGCATTTTCTGGGTACTTCAAATAAGGACATAGTCAAACGTCGTTTTCCGTTTCCGGATAACCGGAAACTAAAATTTGAACAATTTTCGACAGAACTGCCAAAGTGCCAGAAGGATTTAAAGCATTTTTCAGATTGCTTAAACACAGTACCGACATCTGGAGCTACTTCAAGCATAGTGCTCTTCAAAATTTCGAACTTTGGCTATGGTAAAATATCAACAATTGCATGAAATTACAACTATGTCAAAATAATAATACGTGCTAAACTAACGCAATAATACTAATTTTCACCAGTACGTTGATAGCGATACAGGGTACCAATCGTTCACCTTGTCAGGTGATTGGGTAGTATATGGAGAACGTTAGAGAAAGCGAAGACACGGTATTGCAGTCTTGTTGATTCACATCACGTTCAACAACACGATCGATGATAATCAGTACAATTAGTACTAAAAGCTAAAGCAAAAATCCCACCAGGCGGTTCATCGCTTCATCGTGGTTGAGAGGTGTTCCTAGGAGTCGGGCTGCGATGTACAGCAGAAGGATTCATTCCCATGGCAGTGTCTCCCAAGTTGAGAAGGAGTCCGGCGTTTCCATCAGGAAGCCCAGCTAAGAGTAAACCAATACCAGGATCCACCACCGTTCTGGTACCAAATTAGTCGCATGGTGGCAAACCTCCCTCTGATCCATAAGAGCGGCGAGTGTCTGTGGTGATGACGACTTCGTGCAGACTTTGGCTGGACTGGCTTCGAGACTTCAGGGAACCATAATGGCTAAACCAGAAAAACTCCGGAAAATTGGAGATTATGCTTGGGTCCGCACAACAAGTGAGGACGGGCCATTCAGGTATCCAAGTAAGTAAACCAAAAATCGTGCCATGCATTCATGAATTATATTTATGTACTGTATACTTAAATCCGTTGAAAAAACAACTTGGGAATACACGGAAAACGCAACTGCATTTCCATACGATGTTAAAGCTGATGTGTTTGTCACACTAAAAGTCAAGCTCGAGTACGTAAATTAGATTGGGAGCTTCTAATATCTCAACTTTGTTCAACATTAAGTGACAATAATACAAAAGTTTCAAGATCTTCACATTAAACGTACCCGCATCAGTAATCCAAAAGCTAAGGACAGTGTTCACTGGAGGTTGTAAGGCAATATCTTTGATCCCCACCCAGTATTGGGGCATTTCGACTAAATCCGATGAGTTATCAGGGAGGTCTACTGGCCTCAGTGTAGACGGATCGCAACATGTCACGCCAAATGCAAGACCTCCAATGTATAATTTTTGGACGGTAACTACCTGCAAAAATTAGTGTTTTTAGCAAATAGGTCTGGGACGATGACTGAAATGTGCTGTTCATAAGCCCATATATGTTCAAAGCAATATTTTCAGCATGATTTGTCTATAGATGCTTTTATTAAACTTCAGTGAGAACAAATGGTCCTCAATACGGCAAATATAACAATAAAAACCTTTGCCAGAATGTCGAAGGAGATATTATGTGCTCTGAAGAAGAGTTTCTATTCATAAATTAAGGCTACGATATGAACTTGGTCACAAAAATATTTCTCGAATTCACACTCATTCTTTAGTGACTAACAGAAGAACTATAACGCAACAAAGCTGACAGTTTAATCCAGGGTCAACCATTTATTTGCCGCCTAGTATAATTTTTCACGGTAGAGCTTGATGTGAACTACAACCACAATGATGCTGAGATGTTCGCAAAACTTGGACCCTGGGCCAGATCGAACCACGATTAGTCTTTCTTGGGGCTCGCGTATTGCACACTACACCATTGAATTCCTTGCTTTACACACTGTACTGCTGAAGTCCCTTGAGAGAAACGCAAAACAAGGGGCTCGGTTGTGTAGTGTGTAGTATGCGGGCTCCCGGAAAGGGTAATCATGGTTCGATGTGGCCCGTAGTCTAAATTTTGTGAATTTAATCCAGTGTTTTACTTTTGCATAGGCACCTGCTGGTGTATAAAAAACGCACATGAAAAGAACACCGATCATCTCTCATCATTCAATAGAGAATAAGCGTACGGCGGAGTAAATTTCATTCAAGTAATTCAAATTGCTCCGTAAGACTTTTAAATAAAAATAATTTGATACATAAACGTCAAATGACAATCTTCGCCCCACCACTAGGCCAATCCTAGTTTAATGTAACATACTTCCAAACATTTTAATACCCTATTCCTCCTTTTTTCAAGGTTTATCTTATTCTGATTCAAAAGCAAGAGAAAGTCTATGCTCATGACCGAACAACACACTTTCACCGTTATCAAAAACGAAGAAAAAACCCGATCCGATGTGCTTGATATATCAATGAAAACTTAAACTGTGCCGAGGTCAACATGACACTATCCATCTAAAAGGGCTAAGAGTGCTAAACATTGCCTTGTGAAATTTAAACAGAGTAATATGTGAAAACGTCGAACCTCTATGACCACTTTTTCGTTGTTACGAATAGGTCGCTCTGAGAATACATAACCCTGCGAATATTCACTATCGCACCGAGTTGCAATATTTCGCATAGCATTAAGAGAAATATGTCGACCCGTCACTTGATGAAAACGAAGGCATTCAAAGCCCGATGAAGCTGCAAGCACAGTTACACCACTTGTGTACAAAAATAACTCAGAAGACCGACTTTTTATAGACCTCGGCATAAATAATCGATTTATTTACTTATATGTTCTTATGAACTGTCATTGTTGAGCTCATGCGAGGTTGGTGTAAGTTGTTGCTGTTGTTTAATGGTCGGCGTTTCGGTGATTCGCCTTCTTCAAAACCGTGCTGTTACAAATGGGACTACAGCAACAACAACAATGACAACTTATACCAACCTCGCATCTGCTCAACAAAGGTAGTTCATAAAAACATAAAAGTACATAAACACAAAAATGTGTGCAAAAATGCACAAGTACGCTCACAGCTGGCGGAAGTAACTTGAAGTTCTTGATGAAGTGTTACTGGCGGTTCGACAGACGTCGGTTCATGGCGCGGATTACAGGCGGTAGTTGTACAAGGAGTTGTTGAGGAGGATCGCGGCACATGGAAATCTGACGGATCTGTGAGAAAACTGTACATGTTTTACAGGAAAGAAATCACGCATTTTTTTCATCGATTTAGTGCTTTCCTCTCTTATTACAGAATCTCATTAACACATTTGCAAATGGTACGGTACGACGGCAAAACTTTTCCCAAACGCAGCATGTATTGGACTCTGTGTAGAAAAACCCTGTTTGTCATCGCGAAATTTACAAAAAAAAAAAATAGGGAAAAAACCGTGGAAATTACTGCTTGCTTAGTTTGATGATGTTTACAGTTTCAAAATCCAGTTCCTGATCAATAATTTCCTACAAAACGAACATTATGATATTTTATAAATAGAAACCGGTCTGAAGGGGTTACTCGCAGCGCACGAAAATTGCACAGTTTCGATTTACGAGTTCAAACACCAACACAAAGCGACGGCAACAACTCCGACAAATTGAAAATCCATCAACGGAAGGACCAGAGAAGGGCATCTGGACCTAAGGCGGACAGACTATTCCAAGTTTCGTATCGGAGATATGAGTCTTCATGAAGAGGAGAGTCGTGGACGCCTATCACCAGTTGATCACGATCATCCGAATCCAACGAATGAAGCTGCTCCACCAAAAACTACTCTAAAGTTACAGAAGGAATCAAGATTCACGATTTAACAGTTAGTTATTTGCTATATGGGAGATATCAGAAAGGTAAAAAAAGGCTCGATAGATGCTTGCAGCATGAATTAACAAAGAAGCAGGGAGATCGTTGTCATTGTGCTGCGCTTCCTCTACAGAATAAAAACAACTCAAATTCCAACCAAACTGTAATGCACGATTGAAGTCCCAGACTATATGACAACGAACGACTTCCAGTTCAGTAAACCAAGATGGAACTCTAAACCACTGTCCCTGTTCGACTACACATTTAAAAATTAAAGCTGTAAAACTCAAATGTGCTTACCTAAGAGACCTTAAACTTACCAAATGACCAACTGCGAACATTGCAGTGTTATGCTGGACGAAATCCTCTTTGTTCAGCTCCCTTCATGTTCAAAATAAAAGCCTAAGTGGAAACAAAAGGCGAAAAATACCTTTCCTGAGCTCAAATAAATGAGAACTCAATCCTGGTAAAGTAGGAGAACTTGCAGCACTTTGCATAGGGAAAACCAACTATTTCTAATCCAATTAATAAAGATCAGTATGAGCACAGAGATGCTGGTCCGCATTTGTAGGCTGCCATTCCCTTTGAACCACATGCATTTAAATCAATGCACATAGACCCGAATGTGATAAAACACGAGCACGAATATCTCAACTCATAGTAAATGTTACTGATAAAATGGCAGCGATTAGCAACGTACAAATCTTTGCTAACAAGATACAAATCCTGCTACTCTAGCAAAACTAAAATATTTTCCATCCCATATTCTCTACGCTCTTTTCTTCGTCAAGGCTGTCTCGAACAATAGGGCGAACGTACGAATCGGATTTCGTCGAACAAGACCGCGAAGTCAAAAAACGCCGTTAATAAGTGCTGTTGCCGCACCCGCTCTTAAAAAAGGCTAAAAATTTGAAGCTGTTATTCAATTTTTTATTTTTGAAGAATCGGAAACGAGAGAAGCAAGATTAAAAAAATTGGCGTAAATCGTTCGTTTTGACTTTACAATGCATACGCTTATCCTTAAATTCTCATTACTGCATCAAAAGAATAACGGAATTTACTATAGGACCTTCTGGCTATTTCTTCTTCCCTCATAAAGAACCTGATTCAAGCATCGCAAAAGAACTTTACCATAAAGCCTTGCTAGGTGATGAAGAAGTAAGGTGATAAAGAAACGAAGAAGCGAGTACAAGACAAGGCCAAAACGGCTTCGAGTAAAGACGGTGAGTAAATGAAAATCAGTACAGCCGAACGAGGAAGAACCAGAAGGAAAATGTGTCCGAAAAGTGAATCCTGCTAGCTTCCGGTGTACACAACGACGATAATTCATTACTAGCACCAACTCCACCATATATGATGCATATATGCACATAGGCCGTATTGCTCAGTCGTGCTTATGACATTTAATAAATTCAAAAATGTTGCGTATTTCTGAAAGATTGTCAAACGTATTTCAACGTGTTATATTTTATCTTTTCCATCAGTCGATCTGCCTGAGAGGACTAAACAGAGGATGTAGTGTGCTTTCGTTAGTCAACACAGAAGCGCAAGCTTTAAGCATACAATATAAAACAAAACGCCAGCACAAATAAGAATAAGAAATAAAGAAAAAGTAGTTCATAGACTGATGGACATTCGAATCCCAACTATTGTAGAAAGGTGTTTACTGGATTTCTTCGAAGAGCCAGACTTGCGTCCGATGTAGAAATTCGTTCAACACAGACAGATTGGAATGGACTGCACGACGAACAGCTCAGTCAAAAAACGAATGAGTCCAACTGTGATAAATGATAACTCACAATATTTTCGAACCCATGATTATTAAAAAGCATTTCAATATTTATTTGAAACTAAAAGAGGTGCGGTTATTACACGTGTTAGTTGCCATGTGAACAGCCCTCTATGCAGCGCATGACACAAGATCACCTCGATTTAATCTATCTGAGAAAAAGAACATGAAGAAAAGATCAGCAGAAGGACGGGAACAGTTCCGAAACCTTTAAGAATAGGCAACCAAGTACTACTACTTTACAATAAAGGATAAAGCTCTCGGCGCTGACCAATCTTTGAGGAATGTGCCATGCACTTGATTTCATTAACCGTCGTTAGAGGTAACTGAATACATATCCGTCCTTTACAATGACTCGCGATAGTCTACCGATGAATCGAGCTAGTATTGTTATCCTCCCAGACAAGTCTGGTACCAATTTGCTAGCCTCAGAGGGATGGAAAGCTTGATGAGCCTGGGGCGCGGGGATCAATCCCATGTGTATTGCAGGGCACCTCCGACAACTGTGCTAAACCCGCCCTACTTTGGGATATAAAAGGTAATTTCCAAGACACTCTTAAAACAACTAATACTGTTAATCCATTCTCTTTATCTGTGTACTAAAACTACCTAAGCAATTTGGACATACCAACAAATTCGACCGCTACGCTATTGCCGTAAATGTCCACAATGATCCATATTGGCAAAGAAACATTGATTCCTATCAAAAACACACCCTGAAGAAAGTGCAAAACTAGCAATGATGAAAGTAAGAAGGACAGTCAGCACCTTTAAAAGCTCACCTTATGCACTCCATTTACACCATAATAAAGATCACCAGAATGAGTAATGTAGAAGTGTAGAATATTGCCCTCTACAGAGTACCGCTCAGGGAGGGCCTTAGCCCAGAATCCTTCCTTTGAAGTAAGATCAGGACAAGCAAACCTTAAAGAACATGGATAGTTAGTTCGACACAATCAATTTGAGTCGAAACAAAAGAATAAAAAATGTGAAATCTTGTGAAAATTCAGTTCACGTAATGTCAGCACATCTAAAAATAGTCTCTCGAAATACAAAAAAGTGGGTAGAAAGCTCACTTGGGCACTTGGACATTCCTGTAAGATTCTGGATCCACATTCGTCACACCGAACCTCAGCACACCTGACCAACTCGTTGACACCTCGGTTAGACGAATACACACGTTCTCATTTATAGAAATGGGCCTCAACATAGAACTACTGGAGAAACAAAATTATGCAGAAAAAGATCAACTGAACGCTTGCTCATTAGGTTCTCGTTATACAAAACAGTATAACCTACTTCAAAAATGGCCAAGACATTCACTAAACAAGGAACGATAACTCCAATACTTGAACGCAATAGTAATGAAAACATGACAATACTATTGTTAACCTAGTTGCAACCAAAAACGTAAACCCACCTATTGGAAAACGCAAGCCCCTTACAGAAGCTCTCCTTTCGTCTTGCTACTCGACCGCCTAAGAATATTCTCCGTAGCAAAGAATTCTACTAAAGCACTTAGTATATAATAAACAACATACCGTTTAACAAAACAACGTTCTGGCCATGTACCGAGTGGAACGCTAGTTGAGGAAGTCTTGTATCTTGAGTGCCTAAAAGCTGCCAACAATGGGTTATCAATAACACATCAGCGTTAAAATCCTACACTAAAGTGAAAAATGCTTCAAAATCACCAGAAAACATATACGAGAAGGAAGAAATCGTTACAAAAACGTGAATTAAAAGTTCAACCTCATCTACTACCATGTTTAAACCAGTGATATACATACCCTGATTAACACTGATGCCAGCAAGACCCGATAACGAATCTACCATATCTAAAATCAAAAAAGCTTATGAATTTACTCGAAAATGTTTGGACAGTTCTTCAGTCATGGACTGATTTCGTAGACTTTAATATTCACACTGACCCATCGATCCTAGTGTGATGCCAACATTTCACAAAGAACGGCCTTTCGAGCAAAGATTCAGTTGAGCGATTTTGCAAAGGAACACTTGTGCGGAACTTTTGCTTCCGGATTAACAAATGAAAACGTATAAGAATAATGAAGAACATGTAGATCCTTAGAAACCCGAATATCGCTAGCAGATCCCAGTTGCATGGTTTTAGAGGACCATGCAGTAGTTATGAGCAGGACCAATTCAGTTTTATGGTTTTGCTTCAGCCGATGTGACTTATAAATGTGTCGGCCCAAATCAATAAAGTGTTTATAACCATGTTAAGAAACCAGGTGTGCATACAACGGAAAGCGACTATTTACCATTTCTCCTTCGCATTGTCTATTTTTACTTTTGTTTCATTTCATATTATTCTCAAAGCGAACGTCATTTAACCCCGGTAGCAAAATAACCAATATGTATTCAAATTGTTAAGCTGAAACGAGGTTGATAAAGATATTTATTTCGGCTAACGTTCCACGCCTTCCTCTTCATTAGATCCGATGATCCGAGTCGAGGAACAGCTTTATCAACCTCGTGTAAGCTTAACCACTTAAAAACATGTGACTTCACGTAGTCTCAAGTGATTTTGAAGAACTAGTGAAGTTAAAATCTTGCCCTTTGCACAGTTATGGCGTCAGTGGCTTACAATCTAAAGTTTCAATACGACCTGAAGCGTCACTGCGCAAAAAAATTAGGCTATACGTTTTTAAATTGTACCATAAACTTAGGTTCCTAAAGAATAGATATCGATTTTGGTGATAAGGTTCCTTTAATCCAAGTGTCGAAAAGTTAGTTCACTGCAAAATACAATTTCCGGTAAACAGCCACTTCTTACATTCATATTTGTTCTTGTGAACTGTGAATAAACAAAGCGGTGTCGCAGTAGTGTGAAATTCTTATGAATATTGTCGACATCCTTCATGTTGGTTCAACAAACGAAATAATTAAGTGAAATATAACCAATGATGCTTAGATATTGGCAAAACTTCGGACCATAGACGTGTACGGTGGAGATCGAGCATCATATTACCGTTTCCTGGAGCCAACGCGTTCAACACCACACTATGCGGATCCGTCGTTTAACTCCTGCTCAACTCTATCCCAAACACCTGCGGTCCGAAGTTTTGCAAATATCTAATCATCATTATGGTTGTACTTCCCATAATACCCTACCGTGAAAAATTGTGGTAAGCAGTAAAATAAAGGATAATAAAGATAAAGCTATCGGAGTTGTTCACTCCCAGAGGAATGCGCCATGAATTCGACTTCATTAAGCATTGTTTGGAGGTGACTGAATGCATATCTGCCATTTACAATGATTCGCTGTGGCCTACTGATGTGTCGAGCCAGTGCTGCTATTCACCCAGACAAGTCTGGTACTAATTTGCGGACTCCGGAGTGATGAAAGGCTTGGTGGGCCATGGGAGTGGGGATCGATTCCACGTGTGTGTTGCACCACTGCGCCAAATGCGCCCCTAGGAAAATAAAGAAAAAAAGTTAAATAATCAAGTTTACTATAACATTTTTCGAAACGTAGGCAATCCGCTGTGATCCAATTAGCTCTATTTAGCAAACTGACTATTTGCAACGCCTGCAAGGAGTAAGTAAAAGTAACATGAGTACAGTATTTTACCAGGCACACATGGAAAAATTTACCAGACTAAGTAGGAACTCATAAAGAGTTAACAATACGTTACAACAGTACTACTTTCAACCGATCGCTAGTTATAAGAGGAAACGACGCTTTCAGAATGCTTTAACTATGAGGTTCGCTATATATTACTACAGCAGACATCTAAACTCACCCATTATTCGACGTTCATATTCACGTCTATACAACTCCATTATTTATGGTGTGACCTCAAACGAAAGAAAGAAGGTACTGCACGAATCAAAGGAACTGAGAGCGAGACACTGCGATCACAAGGCTCACTGAGGTAAATGAACTAGATTACCGACTATTGCAATAAACGAAGGAATATAAATGAAGCTTAAACTGAGGACAAAAGAAATTCGGTAAACGAATCTCGCTTTGCGCCAGCACCGGACTAGGCATTGGTGTTGCCAAGGTGGTGGTGGTGAACGAGGCGCTCAGTCTTTCCATTTAAACGACGTTTCACGTAAAATATATGCAGTGTGCAGCTCAGCCGAGTGAACACTTAGCAGGAAGCAGAGGTGGTCTAGTCGATAGCGACAACAAGCATCAGAACACTAGGATTATCGGTAATAGTTTTCAGAGATTGACTAGAAACTTCGACATTACCTTTTCCATCGTAACATCTTCGAATGAAAAATGCCATTTCAACTGCGTCCTTCTTAAAGCTATGCCAAAAGAAGACACGCTAATATTAAAGCTTCAACTATCAGTACATCTACGGCGTTAGATACATACGGTCTTCTGGAATGTGCTACGAATACTTAGTTTCTAAGTCTGTTATACTGAAAACACCTAAACAGTACATGACAGAATGTTCAGAAAGACAATCCCAGATACTTCTTTCAAAATGAAAAGAAAGAAAAAACGGAAAATACGTAGGATCGATCCGACGACGGCACTGGAGCGACACAGGAACGGACGTTGACCACCGTCCGAGTACTATCGAATGTTCCCGCACTGTTCGAAAAAGATTTTGATCTAATTTAATAGATAGCCAGATGTGGGAATTGTTTGATCTAATCAATTATTGGGGATCTTCACATAATCTCACTCTATCAGGTTGGGAAACTTGCGTGAAACAAAGTAAGCACTGCTACTGTATGGCTCTCGACTGACTCGGTCCTATGTATAGCACTGCTTTGTAGTGTACTGAACTGGTTTCTCAACGGACCACTGCTCACCTCAAAATGAATAAAACAATGGAAAACTCTTCAAGAACTCACTTGTTGGAGCGCCGTGTACGTTGCCCATTGCCAGCTGAACCGGTTGAAATCGTGTGTTCTTCTTCACTTAAAAAACAAAAGACGTTAGAAACATACGATATCCATTGCAAGTACTTCCGCGTACTGAACACTAATCAAATTAGGGTACTGCTTGGAAAAGAACACCGATCTACACAAGTACCTTACAGTTTCTTCCAAAGCAGTTCATAGTAATGTTAAGGCAAAAAGGTGGTTTACCAGTGACAAACGTTTCAAATCTTAGTTTTTGGAATGAAGATGAAACTGATATATCGGGTAGAGAGAAATGCGATCAGTCAAAGAGATCAGCTGTTTGGCCAAATAAAAACCCCGTCAGCAGTGGGACCATCGCATAAATGGGACAAGATAACCCTGGTCTTAAAAACCCATCGTCCAAACGATTCTTCGACGTTTAGCGGACAATTAGAAGAGTTTTAAAGTTTGAAATAGAGAAAAGACCTACTACTGCACAGTACTTTCTCTGAAGATATGAACAAGCGATACAGCTGTAAAAAAAACAACGGTTAAGCGACCATACGCTGAAGGAACGTCGATCAATTAAACGACTGAATAGAACATGTTTATTCGGTGAAATTACGTTGTACAACCAGTGGAACAAAACAGTATTTGTCATGTTGAGAACATAATGTGTAATGACATGTATCGTACGTAATTCGCTGCGGGACCCGCCACCAGCTGAGCTATGCGTCCAGCGAATACCTGCAAAGGGCTTTAGTAGGTAGCATTGTGCAAAACATCATGTAAGCTATCCGATCAAAGGTCTTAGTAACTACATGTATTAGTACTAGCGGGCCATTGAAACAAGACTAGTTGAATAGGTCCGACAATGAGGGATATAAATCCGGGAGCAATTCCCCAGTGTGTTTAAGAACGAAATCGGATCGCATATAAAGCACCATATTTTGAATCAAATAAAGGATAAGGGATAAAAATCTTGGTGTTAATCAATCCCTGAGGGATGAGCAATTCATTCGATGCCATTAAGCACCGTTTGGAGGTAAATGGATGGATGTTATTTCTCAATGAGTGCGCAAGTCCTTGGTTTGATCCAGCGCCCATTTCACCGGCATCGGCATACTGGTACGGCTTGTCGGGGAGGATAGGAACACTAATTTAGCACAGCAGCAGGTTACCGCAAGTCAGTGTGTAGTCACTCACCTCTAACGATGATTGATGAAATCGAGTACATGGCACATCCCTCAGGGATTGATCAATGTCGAGAGCCTTATTATTTTTTTGATTTTCTTTAAATTTCTCGACGTTAAACATAGACATAACGTATGAAAGGATTGGATTTCGTTTTCATCATTATGATATGTTAAGACGTTCGTAACAATGTTGATAAAGTTCGCTATACATACGTGACTTCGGAGTCGTAGACACCTACCCGATCCATGTGTGTAGAGGTTGGATGAGACGACGTCCATAACCAGATTCCCGTTGAAGACGATACCTGTTTCGTCTCTTCCGAATACACCGTAATAAAATGAGTTCCTTTGTTCCTGGTGTTATCTGCTAAAAGTGCAAATGATAGAAAGATATGAGTATAACACAATTCGTTATGATTTAGATAGCCTATGTTATCGTTCGTATTGTAGTCTCTGTTTTACTTTCCCTTCATAATACTGTCGTAATACTGGCGAGAAGCAGATGCCAGCAATCATTCAATTTAACAAGAAGTATATCCAAACTCCCAGTGGAAGGATCTCGTGCGAATGGATATTTTGCCGCATCAATTAGCTTTGTTAATGAGTGGTTTTAAGATTTCATCATAGAATGATTGAGGGCACTGCGAAAACCTGGAAGTTCACATGAAATATTCATCTCATTTCAATAAGATTTTCGACTATATTGATGGTTTTCATAATTATTCTGTTATGATTGGAAATCCTCCCAGATGTTTCCCGCCTCAACGTGGTTGTGAGGTGTTACTAAATGACGGACTGCGATCTACAGTGGGAGATTCATCCCTTGGTAGGGTCTCCCAAGCTGAGAAGGAGCCCGGCGTTTCCATCAGGAAGTCTAGCTAAGAGTAAACCAATACCAGGATCCACCACCATCCTGGTATCAAAATCGCATGGTGGCAAATCTCCCTCTGATCCACAAGGGCTGCGACTGCCTGTGGTGGTGAAGACCTGGGGCAGACTTTGGCCAGGCTGACCTCGGGATTTCAGGGAACCACAATGACTTAATTAGCAAACCTCTGAAAAATGGAGATTACGCTGGGGCCCGCACAACCACCAAGGGTTGGCCATTCAAGTATCAAGTATGAAAGACGATTGGAAATTGAATGGTGTAGTCACCCAGAGCCTCGATGTTCTGTAAACTGCATTAGTATTAAATCTGATTAACTGTTCTTGATGCATACGAATTGAAAATATCGACGCCATTTTGTAACAATCTTAGTCGCAAGGTTGCAAACCATAAATCCACAGTA